TACTATAATTAAAAACTGTTTATCTACGTATCATTTTCCTTTGTTTTTTTTAATGAAATGATTTTGTAAATTTGGGAGGGGCAAATTTCATAACAGATCACCCTTGTATGGGAAATTTGGCTTTTTCTCCATTTTCTGGAATTTTCCTCCTTTAAGGATCTCTTTTTTGGAATCTCGTTTTTTTTTTTTTTTCCTTCGAAAATTTTGGGGGAGAAGGGTTAGTAACACTTGGGTATCGAATTCAGAACTTTATGTCTAAACCGTTGAAAGTGATGGCCACTAAGCTACCGAGTGCTGGATTTTTTGGAATCTCGCTTTGTCAATTAGAAATGCTTGGCTCTTGATGTTACTATATTAGGTTTTCTAGGGTTTCTTATCTTCTTTTGTTAATCCATTTTTTATGTTATAAGGCCTTTAAAGCAATAGGAAATATTGAGTGTCAATTATTAGTACATTTTATTTTTAAAAATATAAAAGTCAACTTTCTTTTTAGATTGATCTAACAAGTTTTAATTGTAATTTAATATAAATTAGTGAAAAAGAGATACGTGATATTCATAATTTAAACTAAAATTAATTTTACATTTTTTAAACAAAAATAAAAATAATTAGTCAATAACTAGTGGTATTCTATCTTCTTCAGATAATCTTACCTAAGTGAAAATAAAATATTTTAAATCCAAATCACATGGCATGTAAATATAACAAGTTAAGATATGAAAAAGAATTATCTTTTATAGTATAATTCAATACCAAATAACAATAATAATAATAATAGTATACTCTAAATCCAAATCACATGATGAAGTTAAGAGATGAAAAAAAATTATTTTTTATTAACTTAAAATCAGATAATAATAGTTAACGAGTTAAATAATTTAGTAGTAATATCCTTTTACTGAAAATAAGAGGTTTTAAATTTGAATTGCTTAGTGTGCAAGTAGGTGAGATAAAAGATAGGAGAGATTGTGTAACTAATATGAAATAATAATAATAATAATAATAATAACAAACCTTAAATTATTTGGTTATTAGTTCAAAAGTTCAATTGCTTTATATATATATATATTAGAAAATGAGTTGTGTAATAAAGAATAACTCCTTCCTTTCAAATTCCTCCCCACACACTCTAGAATTTACACTATGTTTGGATAAAAATTAGTAAAAGAAAGTGAAGGAAAGGGAGGGGAAGTAGAGACAGGGAAGGGAAGGAGAGTAAAGGATTAGTATTAATTTTGTTTGAATAGATTAAAAAAGAGGAAGGAAAAGGAAGGGAGAGATTATGTTTTTCTTAAAAAAAATTTTTAATTAAATAAATTAAAGAAAAATAATTAT